GTTTGATTTGGGGGTTGTTAGTTGTGGTTTTCCCTTGTTTGTATTTTATTTTTTATTTTTATTTTTTTTATTTATTGAAGAAATGCATTTTAGTTTTAGAAGAAAGGAAACATCTTGCATTCTGTTGCTTCCTCAAAGGAAGTTCACAATTTTGTATGATGCTCCCTATTCAGCTATCATTGCAAGCCATTTCAAAGTTTACTATGACTTTTAGCTTCTATTGCCACAGTGTCCTCAAAAAGACAGTATTTTACCTTTCTGAAGTCAGTGACTAATTAGATTTACAGATGTTGTAATTTCAAATTATTGGGGACTTGTTTGTCGGTGTAACTTGAGCAGCAGCTGCAAATTTGGCAAGTGCAGGTCTAGTAGAGCAGTGAAGTTTCCTGATATTTCAATGATGCTTACTGAAGCAGTCAAAAATACAACTGTGACTGGTAGACTGAAACACAGAAAAGGGAAAATGGACCAAGCACAAGGAAGACTTACCTGGTGGGGAAATGCATCTGATGGTGCGAATTAAGAGAAGAACCCACTTTTTATAGCAATCTTGTGTCTGTGAAAAGATGCAACAGGCTTTTTCTTTTTTCTTTTTCTCTTTTAAGTTTTAGAAGAGCTCTTTGAATTTAAAGGAAATTTTGTCTGCCAAGTCAGTTTGAGGTAACTGCTTAGTAACTGCCATAATAAATTTATGATGAACAAGTTTTTTAATGGAAATACTGACCACAGCTCTGACTGGATAAATAGCACATCTGTTGCACTGTGACTGACTTGTTCCTGTAGTTTATTTTTCCACACCAAATGTTTTGCTGAACTGAATTTGAGTTTTCTGCAGTTCAGTAATTAGCTTTCATTAAGTCTTTAAATATTTAATTTTTGAGATCTGAGAATATTGTCAGGGATAACACTGTCAAGGATCTCTTAACTTAAAGTGAGAACTGAGCTCACTTCACTGAGCAGAAAGTAGCATTTGTTCCTATTTTATGCAAGACCTGGCTGGCAGATTCCTGCTGAATATTGAGCAGTCAAATAGATGGTGGTTGTTCTAAACCACACCTGGAGAACAGGAACATGTAAATTGAAACATTTTAATGCTTACTTTAGTGACAGCTCTTGTACTGAAGCTTTCTAGATTCTTTCCAAGCAAAAGTTCTCCAGCCAAAACACCCACGTCTCCTAATAGTAATCTAGGGTCTTATCCTTTGCAATAAGAAAATATATACATTTCTTTCAATAGAACATCCTTGAGAAGGAAAGTAGATTGAAGGAGGTTCCTCTTAAAAAAATTGCTTAACAGTGTTAAAGATATGTTTGGTTTTGGTTGGTTTTTTGTTTTATAAATAAAGGGATGGACTGTTCTCTAAATGCTCAAAACAGCCTGCATTGTAAAGATAAATAATATTGAATGTCTGTGCCCTCAGGTTTTTGCATAATTATTGAAATCCACTTTGCTGTTTTGGCATATACATTGCTGTTCCAAGCACAGATTTATTTATTAAATCTGACAGTTTTATTTAAGAGTTTCTTTATGAACCAGTCAAAACACATCTGAGAAAGACATTCCATCGCAGTACTTAGGTGATGCTGATGTTCATCATCATCCCAACCACTTCTTTTTTGACCAGGTTTCAGAGTCCTCCCTATAGGTGTGATTGACATAAATCAGATGTTGTTTTCAAAGAACATATGCACTAATTACTTTGAGAAAACCCTTGAAAGTGCATAACTTATGGCTGTTCTGCAGTAGGAATTTAGAATGGGTATTTTTAGAAAGGGTTTCAGGTTTGCTTCAGTTATAAATGCATTTTAAATGCTGACCTTTATTTTAAAAGAAAAAAGCTGCAGGAAAGGACAAGTATGTATTTTATACTGTGGAAAAATAAGAAACACCGAAAAACAAAACTTACCCCAGCCTCACTAGTATACATACATACATTTGCTTTATATTTTTAAAATACAAGGCTCATTGTTTCTTGTATGTAACTGCTTCACAGAATCATCAAGTTTAGAAGAGGACTTCAAGGTGATCTAGTCCAACCATCAACCCAGCACCCCTATCCCTAAGTGCCACATACAGTTGCCTCTTGGAAACTAATTGAGATGGTGACTAATCTGACCCTCCCCTGATGCAGCTTAAGGCCATTTCCTCTTGTCCTTTCCACTGAGACATGGTAGAAGAGACTGACCTTCACTTGGCTCCAACTGTAGGACTTTTGCTCCAGACTCCTCTGCAATACTGCTTCATAGCATTACTTCGAATATTTTCAAAAGGATTAGCTGCTTACTTTTTTGGGGGGAGGAGTAATGTGGTTTTGCTTGTAGTATGGGGGTTTTTTCCTTCCTTTTTCCCCCATCACTGCTTTGATGCTTTTTTTTGCATCACTCTATAGTTGCCCCATAGCTGGTTGGCCTCTCCTTTTAGCAAATTACTGAGTAGTCATCCTAATGTGACATTGACAATTAATGAAGTGATTTTATAAGGTACAACTTGCTGACTGGAATTTCAGTTTTAAAGTGGAATCTTTATACCTTGACAAACCACCTTGTAGATTACATTTGCCAGCTTGTGCTCTGATATTGGCACAGATACTGGATGTGCAGTATTTGAGACTATTCATCTAATTTTCTATATTCTGGGCACTGGAATCACAGGCAACACATGATGTTAACCTCACTCATATTTCCCATGGCATCCTTTCACAACACAGAGTTAATAGTCATGCAAGAAAATATATATTTGACTATTTAAACTAGAAAATCAATGTATTGAGTGTGAATAGAATCTTGTTGGACTCCTGGTAACTAATGATATACATTATTTTGTCTGCTTTGAAATTATTGTGACAGTGCTGAAAAATACCTGCAAAAAAAGTGACAGATGGGTTCATGATATTTTGTAAAGGAAAATAAAGACAGCTTTTAAAACAAGTTCTCTAGCAGTGAAAAATAAAATTATTTTTTTAACTACAAAAAAGTTACCAAAAAAGTATTCTAGCAGTCAGTCTTGTATGTATCCAAAATATAATTAATTATCCATCCTACAGGGATGCAAATCCTCCTGTGGCTAGAGAGATACAAGATCAAATGCATTACATCAGGAAAAAAACTTCCTAACAGCCTTCCAAAACTGGAAATGGAACTTCCTCATCATTTGCTTTTGCAGTAACAACCACTCAAAACCTAGCGACCTGCAAAATTGTTTTGGTTTTAGATGAGTACACCAGTGACTTGCCTGATGTATAAAGTGTTATTTGTTCATAATCACTATTCAGTGTAGAACCTCCCCTTCAGCCCAATACATTAAACCTTTTATGAGCAGTTTTAGCTCAAGAACCATGTAAGTGCATAAACACAGAGTGTGTAAGTTGGAAATAATCTTTAATTCTGATTCTAGAGATATATGCTATTAAAGTGCAACACCATTTTTATGAAGCTTGTTATAGTCATGTCAGCTGATAGGAAATATTTGAAAATCTCTGAGTGTATTATTTTAAATGTTTTGGTGTTTGTCAGTACATTTCAGGTGGGATAATACTTTTAGCGTACATAACAGAGAATTTGAGAACTTTGGTTTTTCTGTTTGGATAAGCTTCTGTACTAATGAGTAGAACATCCTCAAATGGATGCACTGACAGCAGGGATTTGGCAGGCAGGCTCCCAGGCACTGATGATGTTTGCTCTGGGCATGGAATTCTGCCCATAACAATGAGGCCAGGACTTCATATGAAAAGGGAAAAAAACCTCAAAGTATGGATCAGAGACAGAAGAAAAGAGCTGCCTAAGCCAAGGACATGCTGCCTCTTCCTTAATGGTACTAATATCCAAGATTTGTGTACTTGGCAGTGTTCCTGGGTTTATAGTTCTTAGTCAGAAATCGTGGAGGCTTAATGCTGTTGCCAGAATGTTAGATGTCTAATGCCACTTGAGATACTCTAAAATACTTCACATGATTTCCAGAAGGACTGGAGTCTCTGAGATGTCATAATTGCATCTTTCCAGCCTTTGATGAGGTCACATACCCAAGTGCAATCTCAAATGGTGGCAAATGCCTGTGTATAGGAAAACTGAAGGGAGTTATCTGTGCCTCCCCAGCCAAGCTGGAGGGCTAAAAAATGTTTATGTGCACACACCCACATATACACACACACACAAAATTCAAAACCCCAACAAAGCCGTTCTACATCTCACTGGACTAAAAATTCAGCAGAAGGAACCTTGTAAAAGAACAATCAATCACCCCCAGCAAAAAATGCAAACAAAAAAACTCTAGCCACGAAATAGAAAAAACCTCAAACCACCTCCAAAATGAAAAATTTAAGATTAATTTAGTGCCAGACATTTTTCTTACAGTTGATATCAGCCCACTCCAGAGAGACAGTGCAGCTTTAGAAAGTGGATGTCACAGTCTTATCTGGGGAATAGTAGAAGAGTAGACCAGAGAGTGAGATTTTCTTACACAGCTAAATACTTTCTACACATGCTGCACAAGTGAAGAGGGTTAGGAAATGGTACAGTTTTCAATGATTCAGATTGAATTTTGAAGTGGTGTGAGAAAATTAATTTCTTAGGCATGTGATAGATAAAACAGACTCAGACCACTCCCCAAAATCCTTCCATCACCTCTTCAGTCAAGCTACTTTGTGGTCCATTGACAAACATGAGAAAGTTCAGCCCTTTTGATGCACTGGGTTGACATTTCTGTGAAAATGGGGAATTCAACCCTTGCAGCTCTCACCCATGCAACCCAATTTATATAAAGACACTTAGATGGGCTCATTTTGTCAGAGGAAGTGAAATCTTACCATGCATTTTGCATAGAAGGTAATAGGGTGGGGGTATTTTTTGTTTTGTGTTGTTTGGGGAGGCCAGGGCATTTCTTCTTTGTTGGTTTGTGGGGAGTTTCTACTGAATTTGGAATTATAAGAACAAGATCTTATATATATATATAATATATATAAAACAAAAGCTTCCACTACATGCTTACCTATTGTGAGTACTTGGCAGATGCATATATATAGACTGGAGGAATTACACTTTTTTTGAAAGTATAAGCAGTTTTTTCAAATTACTTAGTAAGAGGCACGAAGAATAGGAGAATAAATTGAGCTTGAGAGAAGGAAAAGAAATGATTCATCTTCTGTTTGTGTTTTGCATGAGGAAATAGTGCATGGTTAATACTGGTTTCCAGTGACAGTAGAATAACACTTCCTAATTAGGATTCTGAGAAAGTGACACAAAGGAGGTAGATTAGTTTTCTTTTACCACATTTGCATCCAGTGATCAAAAATGCTGGATAGAATTGGTGAATAATCATTCTTGCAGTGGATGATGGCATCTGTAGAAAGCCAAAAAATTGCTGACTGAATATTGCTTTTACAGAAATTCATGTTGTGCAGAATTAAAAACTCTAAGGCTGCATGTTGCTATGGATAATTTGTTCAAAAGTGGAAGGAAACATTTCCTCTCTGCCTTCCTACCTATTTTCCTTTTCTGAAAATGGGATATAAAATACATCAGATTGCTAAAAAAGAGACACAGGAGGATATGTGAAGGAAAGGATTTGATTCCTGATGTTTACAGAGCACAAAGGCATGCATTCTTATATTCTTAGAATCTGATTTAGTATCAGGTCAAGTAACTTGTTTCCTTCAAAACAAAACCCAGATATATTGACAGTGGATATGAATTGTGCTGTTTAAAGTATTTTTGTATACTGTTTCCTTTTATAAAAATTACATAATTGGCAATTTATTTAAATAAAATATAGAAGATTTTTTAACACCTAAAAGAAATCAAATGGGGTAATAGAGAGAATAATAGTTTTTTGGGCATAAGTATGCTTGGATGTGAGAGACAAAAGAGGGATTCATCCCTTTATAAGCAAGATAGGGGATGGGTAGTGGTGTGCATAGGTTGTTCTTTTTTTTTTTTTTGAAAGCACAGCTGTTGAAAAAGTTTAGCTATTAAAATAATAATATAGTCAGCAGTTCAGATTAGTAATATTGATTTATCCATCTTATGAGGGATGTTACAAAAGGTGAGAATCTTTCTGGGTGCTCACTATTGGAGGGGTTCTGAACCTGAGTGTGGGCTTTTAAAGTACCCTAAATAGTTGACTGCATTGGCAGACTAATGGTATATTTTGTCAGTGTACAAATGATAATCACACTTCTACCTTCCCATCCCTTTGTGTTTTAGGATGTGTATGAATATTTGTTTCAGCTTATTGGCTGGGGGGGTTTCCCCTCTATTTGTCTTGATTTTAGATACGTATCTAGCTCCATGGCAACAACTCAACCCCTCAAACTGGGTAAATAATGAAGTCACTGAGTATGAAAACAGAAGTTTTCTTTGCAGCTTTGACTTTGCTCCATTTAGTTTGGTGATTTGTGTTGTTTTTATCTGTTTTTGTTTGTTTTTTGAACCTTCAGTGCTCTTGAAATTCTGTGTATTTTTTAATGCTACATGAAATATAACACCTAGCCTTCTCTTATTCTCATACTGCATTGAGGTCAGGAGCAGAATGCATGTGAGTTCATAGATTTAATTATTTCTGGTAGAGAGGAGGTTTTTCCTCGGTGTTTGAATATCTAGAGTAGCTGGTTATTATCTTTGACCTGTGACTCTTTAGTAGTGTTTGGTTTTTTTAATTTTAGGTGAATTTGTGTTTGGTTGGGATTACTATAATTACAGATCCATTGCTTTCAGAATTTTTATTTGAAGGAATGCTTCAGAAGGTGTTAGGTTTAAGCAGCAGGTAGACAAGGAAATCTTAGTGATTCTACCCTAAAAAAAATGTTAAGTAAATAGGGAGAAAAGGCATATATTTTTACTGTTTACATGGCCTGTAAATCCCAGGAGAGGTGTCAAAATAATTTAGCAATTGAAAGCAAAGCTATTCCCAGGTCCTTGACTATCTGTATTGAGATATACCTATCATAATCTGAAAACTATAGAGCTGTAGAATAATTTAGGTTGGAAAAGACATTTGAGGTCATTCAGTCCAGTTATAAACCAGTGTTTTTCTTGAAAGAAAAAAGGACTGGGCCAGACATCTTACTACTGGTGTAGGAATTAAATAAAAGGAAACAACCTCGTAATCCTATGGGTATCAGCTGGATTACTCTACTTTAGTGATTTAATGAGGACCTTAAATGTCCTGCAAATGTCTCTGTGGTTTTTAGAAATGTCTGTTTTACTTAAAAAATATCAAATCAATAAATCAGTTCATTAGTTAGGGGACATAAGAGTCTTCTCTCCACGTGGGAGGGAGAAACCCATAATAATCTCTCATTCAGTTAAATATCTAGCGTAACAGCAAGTTTGTAAAAAAGGTCTTGGCATATAAAGAGTGCAAACCCAAAGGGTTTGTGGAGGTAAAGATAGGTTCCTTAAAAGCCATTTCAAGGGTTTTTGAAAGGGAGGTTTAACTGACCTTTGTTTTGAAATTAGTTTTACTCTCTCAAGCTATTTCCAAAGAATCTCCATTGGAAAATCTCCCCTGTCAGAATAGCAAGTTTTACAAAAGAATAGCTAATGACAATTATTTTAAGAGCTGTATAACGTCTGTTTGTTCATAAATTAAATTTTATTTCAAATAAATTTTTCTAATTGGTAAATTTTAGTTTTAAACAGAATATTACAGATATGGATTGACTGTGTATGTGTATTTAGGCTTCTGTTTTCAATCTGTGTAACTTTTAATGTCTAAGTAGGTGTTATCTGTCAAGTGTTGAAGCAAGGCTCAGATATAAAAATATCCCTTCCTTTCTAAACATAATTTAAAATGTGACATGAGCATGTGTTACATTTGTGTGTGCATATGGATTAACAGATAGTTATAGAAAATATACTAAAATAGCAGGTTTGATTACATGGAAATCAGGTTGGATTAATTACTGCTGTAAATTGTTCTGGCATGGTGCCAGAGTGCATTGCCCTAATGGAGTGACAACTGCTGAGGAGGGGAAGCTGCAGCTCAGTCTCAAAGCTGATGGCACAGTAGGAGAAATGGTTGGCTGTGGCTGTGTGCTTGCAGGCTTGTTTTTAAAACAAGCAAACAAACCCAAATAAATAAATGACAACCTCTCACAAACAAACAAAGCCCTCACTGCTACTGCTTCCCCTAAAAAAACCCATCCAAAACTCCAAAGCTAATCACTGTTCATTGAGAGCACAGTCATCCCAGATCACAGGGAGTTTCTTTGTGGATTTTTAGGTATGTCTTCTCAGAACTAAGTGCTAAGGGAAAGCAGCATGTCTGTGGTTTGGGTGGAGCCTTTGATGCCATTACCTTAGATGGCCAGTTCCATTTGAAATAAAGTCTCCTTTGAATTTGCAGTGTTTTCAAGAGAAAAAAATGGCCAGTACTGCTTAGGACACCTGGCTGACTAAGGAATGACTGGTTAGATCTATTAGGTCAAAAGACAGCAGAATGTACTTTTAGTTTTCTGGTCAGCTTTCCTGAGAGTTTTGTTTTGCTTACTGTTGAGATGTCCAATGAAAGCATCTTCCTAGAAAAAAATTACTATTACTTGTTGGGGTTTTTTGGATGTCATTAATGTCTAGAAAGTCAAAAGATTTGTTTTGGAAGAATTGTGGATGTTTCAAGTAGCTTGTATACTTTGGAATTTACTAACCTAACATTAAAGTACAGTGTGGAAATTATTTTTCTTGAGACACAATAGTGAGTCTTATTTAATCCAGTTCTGTTTCCCAGTACAACTGTGCAGTTCTGCTGAAACCAATGGAATAGAAATCAGTGTGGCTTTCTTGTATCCCAAGTTTGAGGTCACAGACATTTCTGAGCTGGGCTCAGAGAGCTGTTTTCTTGTACTTGTCTTGTAGCTATGAAGTATGGATTAATGGCAGGTATTCAACCTGGCTTCAGATATAGTGGATAAAGACAAGCTGGAATTTACATTTCTAACTGCATCTTAATAAATTGCAAATTGAGATAATGTTTTTAATTTTAATCAAGTAATAATTTCTGAACTAATTTTGTCTCTGGCTGGTGACATATTTAATGATGAAGAGAAATTAACACTAAGTACCATCTAAATTCCAATTAAAGAAAGATTTGAAATGTGTTGATAGATTTTTACATATTAATTTAAACCTAATAAAAGTAAAATAGTCTTCCTAAAAGTGGTATCTGAGTAGGTGTAGGATCTAATTAGTTTATGACAGTAATCTGAATTAACTCCCGTCCACTAGAGAAAATGGCAAGTAGTGAACAATTTTCAAGCATTGATTCCACCTAGTGGTAAAAAAATATTATTACTGGTTTACATAATACATATTCAGAATAACATGAAGTTCCTGTCATATATAAAGAAAGAGGAATTAACTGTCTCTTTTGTAACATAATCTACACAAGTGGAGTACTGCAAAAGATGTTCAGAGTAGGCAGCTTGAATTTGAACACTTCACTGATTGATACTGATAGGGATGGCTTAGATAATGTTTCAAATATATTTGTCCAATTAAAAAAAAAAAGTTAATTGCACAATTGTGTGAATGTAGCGGGGACTTTGTACAGCTTTAAAAAGGTACAGGGTTTTTTTATGTGTGTCAAAACCAGGCTTTTATGGTTTGGGTTTTTTGAGGGATTTTTTTTTTTTCTTAAATAAATCTGTCTTTGGAATAGAAGTTTGAATTCAGGTAACATGAAAGGTGTGGATGTGGGTTGGGTATTCCTGGCACAATATCAATGACATTTTGCAATGAACCATGGACTTGGGGAATACTCACCTGGCAAAATATTGACTTGGCTAAGTTCCCAGAAGTGTTTCAGAAGGGATCTGCAGAGTTCATCCTGTGGGCACAGGGAGAGGGTGATGTGTGCTGAGGAGAGGCTGAAGAAGGCAGGGCTCCTGCTTCTGGAGGTGACACCAGTGTGTGCCAGGCAGTAATGACTACAGCTTTGTGTAATGCAGTCTGGCAACAGCACATGATGCAAGCTCCCTTCCTGTGTAAAACACTGCCCAGCTGCTCTTTAGAACTGGAAACCTTGACCCCTTCTGATCACAGTGATATGTGAAAGCATCTTATCCCCAGCTGATGTAGGCTCAATATAAAAATGATGTTTATCCTTGTAACATCTGTATGTGACAATTAACATGTAAGACAGTAACACAGCTGATTCTGATGGATGTGTGTAGACTGTCTTTTGTTTTCCTTTTTATTTATAGGTACTTGTTCCACAGTGGCAATCCAGAGCATCCAGGAGACATACTTCTAAACACAACTGTAGAAGTTTTGCCTTTTCAGGTACGAATGTTTTGTTTTGTGTCTTCTCCATTACAGGATAAAAGCAAAGTCTCTTTATTAACTTTTTTAACAGTGAGGAGATATAAATGCTTCTTTTAACTGTATGAACTTGATGTTCTGATGTTCTTATACTTCTCCTTCTTTTAACTGGGTATGTTTACAAAAGACTATTGTAACTATTCAAATGTTCATTCAGGGTGCAGTCTGCTACAAGTGCTGTTGGTAATTTCGAGGTGAAAAAGGTCATTTTCTTCCAGTTCATTGCTACTATTTAAAACAAAAAAATAAACAGTCTTACCTCTCCTGTGTATTTTCGGAAATGGGAAATCTAAGTCAATCTGCTATTTTTCTCAGTAAAAAAGTCTTAGTTCAGGGACTGACACACATCCAAACCCACTAGATACCAAAATATATAGATTTTTAAAACAGAATTTTCCCCAATTTCTTTCTCCCAATTTCTGATGTTTTTTCCCCATAAAGGAGCCTGTTTTACCACAGGAGAATACCACACTATCTAAAGTATATTCTTGTTTAAGTCACATGTTATGGGTTCTCTTCTACTAGATATTGCAGCTAACTATTTATATCACAAAGACCGAGAGGATTAAGATGTTGCTTCAGACAAATTTATTTTATTTAGTATTAAAATGGCAAAGCATCTCTACCTTCCCTCATATACCTGGTGTAGGAATCTTGAAATCTAGGCTGAAATTGCCTTATGTTGAATATTTTTTAAACTTTCTTTTTATCTATTTTTTTGAAGTAAGTAATTGTGAAGGAGTTCATATCTCCATTTTCTCAGTCTACCTTCCTTAGAGCAGGCAAAAATAGGAAATTCTTACTATTCCCATCATTAAAAAGAAAATTGTTAGTTTGGTTCTAATTATAAAACATGACATGTGGGATATTACATCATAAGATCTGAGGGGTTTCTTTCTCAAGACCTGTGGAAATACATTCAACCACAAAAAACAGCAGCAGGCCTCACTTCATCTAAGGGCAAGATACCAAAATGCACAAGATAACGAGCAAAAATATGCAGCAGGCATCTCTTTTTTTGGTTTTACTTGGTTGTGAAATGTCCCTCACTGGAGCATCCTTTAAGGAAGTAATGCTACAGAGGTTCTATTGCTATTGATGCAATTTGTGGAAAAGGTAGACAAGAAATTCTGCATCTGGCCTGTTTCTAAGCCACTGGTGTCAGAATAAAATATTGTCAGTAAAATAAGGTCAGCTGAGGACAGCAGCTCCTCAGGGCCCTGTTTCTCCACCTGGACTTCAGCAGAGCTAGAAACTCATTCAAGTATTTTAACCCTCATCTTCCTTAAGTAGAATTCAGAAAAACCAAAAAACCCTTAGAAAGCAGAGTACCCCCAGACTGGATTTGTCCCGGATTCAAGCAGCATACTAAAAAACCCCTCAAGACAACCTATAACAAGAACCTGCCCCAAACACCCCAACAACAACAACAAAGAAAAACAAAACACCTGTCCCTGAGGTAAACAACCAAAGACATTCCCACCACTTTTTCAGCAGCCTTAGTTCAAAATAGGAATGGAAAGGAAAAAAAAAAGCTGATCAATTTAATCTCCATTTTGCCAAGCATTTTTACTTAATTCCTGGGAAATTCATAGAGTGGGTCTTTCAGTATTGGGTCATGGTTGTACTTTTCAAGCTGTTTTTCAAGATCTCTTCTCCAATTTTTTTGGTGCTTATTAAATAAAACTTACTGATTCCCATTGATCCCCATATAGTGAGGCAGTGATAATTGTGGTGCTTCCCTTGCTGGTCTGATGGCTTTCCATCTCACCCAAAGTCTTAGATCAAAAAGTAAGCTGTAAGTTTTCATTTCTCTAAGAGAGAAAGCTCTTGTTAAGCCATAGAAAAAGAAGGCAGGTCCTGCCTTTGCTTGTCTCCTGCTGTGTGTAGTACGTGCTAAGTATTCTGTTCACGTGGCAATTACCATGCGAGCTTTATGGGCCACTTAGAGTACTTGATTTTTCTTCTTTGAAGCCAATTATTGTTCAGTTCTGGAACACTGCTGCTCTTTCTTTTTTTCTTTTTCTTTCTTTTTTTTTTTTTTAATGTTTGCTTGTATAAGGCTATAAATAATTATATTCCAGGCTTGTTCTTAATTATTTGGAAAAAATGGATGCTGAATATATAAGAAGAGTGCACACACATTTGTTTTCTCTGGCAAAGTCATATGTCAAAATAAATTATCTCATTTGTGCTTTGTTGTTCTAGAGTGAAGAACTGGTATTAAGCAAAGAAACCAAAGACAAACGCTTAGAGGATGGTTACTTCAGGATAGGTATGTAACACAGAAAAAAATGTGTATTCTTACTATTGCAACTCTTAAAGACATGTTTATTAAAACGAAAACAAACATAAACCTGAGTTTTTATCATTTATTTTTGGGTATATGATCCCATAGGCTTTACTTAATGTTGTATCCACTAATTCTTTTCAGAGACTGATGTATTGAACAGAGATCTCTCGTGACTCTTAGTTGTAGTGTAGCTACGTCCAACTTTTCCGCCAGGATTGATCACCTGGATTATAATAGAGGCCTTTCCAGGTTTTGTAAGATCACCTCCTCTGTCCTGTGACTGCACAAGTGCTTTTTTGAGTTGTGTGCTTGCCCTGGATTTGAACCCACCCTACAGACAATCAGCTGTCTCATCACAGGATGAGATTGGCATTTCAACAGCCAAATGGCTGTTGGGGAAGGTGCTTGGATACATGTTGTCAAGGAAGAGAAATTTTACCCATGGATTTTAATTAGTTGCTGAACAGAGTTTGGGCAATCCTGCTATAACTTTTTTTGTCATAATAAATTACAGTTGTTGTCTATATGGCTTAACTATAAAGTCTAACTGGACTTTTAAATTGAATTCTTACTCATCCTAATATAATTGAAGATGCTTTAAATAGGAATATGTTATGCATGAATGATATCCCTTGTCCTTAATCCTATTTGAAAACACATAAGCCAAAGGCATCATATTAGTTCTGTGATATTAAAAGAGTACCTGTACCAAAATCTTCACAGAGTTTAGGTGTTAATGCCTTTAGACAGTTTCAAAGGTTTTACTCTTTGTGTAATCCTGTTCAGATTGGTGTGCACTGATGATGTGCCCCATATTGTTTGCTGCTGCAAAACTGGATCTGATGTCAAAATCACTCACTGCCTTTTATTTTGGGAATGATACTGGTTTCACTGTGGTTCTGTCACAATGATACTTTGAACTGTGATTCTACAGATACATTTTCTGGATTTTGTGCTGCAGTTTGTTGAACAGGACTTAATGATATACTTTTGCAGGGAAGTTTGAAAACGGTGTAGCTGAAGGAACAGTTGACCCCAGCCTAAATCCTATTTCATCATTCCGGCTTTCCGTGATACAAAATTCAGCCGTTTGGGCAATTCTCAATGAGGTAAGAAGTGGTAGAACATTGAAAAACATAACTGGAGAACGGGAGATTTCTTCATCCTGTTTTGAAGCTCAGACTTCTGGCTAAAACTAGAAATAGTTACCTCTTATTACTGAGAAATGTAATACACTAAACCATGACTTATTTCTTCTGATTCTCTATTTCAGATTCATATTAAAAAGATTACAAACTGATCATGGAAATCTGCTTTAGAGGAAAAAGAAAGAATTCTTGAAAATTCTTCCTATAAAATCTGACATCCTTAGCAAGTCACAAATTGAAAATACTGAGCATGCACCTTATTCCAAATGTCATTCTTTTTCACTTGAACTCTACCTCTTGTGAAATCTACTGTAGATGAGAAGATTGTATTTACCCCTTCTTATCTGATCCATCCAGAAACTGATGCTCCACACTGATAACGTTCGACTGAGGCCCAAGTTGTCCTCCACTGTAATGTGACTTTACCATCTTATGGTTGCAGAACCCTGCTACGCTTAACCTGTACTATTTTGATAGTATAGTAATATAGAGTTGTACATATTGTTACATTCCTTGAAGAAAGAAAAATATAATTATTGTTAAATAAGTTTTATGAAGGGGGTACTTTCGGAGTTCCATTTATTTTCTATAACAAGAACCCTCTTTTATAGACTGTCAGGGATATATATTAAAAATGCTAGGGATATTTAATTTATTAAAATAATTTGAAAAGTACATATTTTTATGCGGTAAAATTTTAAATTGATATAGTTTTTTTATGAATTCTCTAGTTTAAGTTATCTTTCTACATTTTTCTTTGGAGATGCAAACATAAATTAATACCATATTTCAAATATACTGCCATGTTAAAAAGAAAACAAGATTAAGTTTCTAAATTATGTAGTTTTATACACAGAATCTGAATGATGTTCAGAGGCATAAACAGAGTTCTGAAGAGCATTATTCTTTGGGGCTATGAAATTCCACTATGTACAGTTTGTAGCCACATGAAAAGCATGTTGAAATGTCTTTTTTTCATATTATGTACTAAATCTGCAGTAATTTTAGATTTAATCCATTGCATTTTAGAAGAATTTTTTTTTACTCCAAACCAGTTCTTTCTAA